GGCTGTTGGATCTCATGGTGAGGGACCAAAAAGTTCTGTAAAGGTTGAGCAGACATTGGAAGATGGTAAGAGGCTAAAACTGAACAGTGTAGGTTGTAAGAAACATTTTTCTGAAAAAACACATAGCTTTGAACATACTGTACATGTACATCTTGCCAGATTTATTGTATTGATATTTATATGCATGATATTGTCAGAGTTAAGTTATTATAATTATTAGTATAAAGAGTTAATTGCCCTCTGCAGTTTAAGTGAACAGGTAAAAGTGCATCATCTAATTTGTACATTTTTTTTTTGTGAAAGATCAAGTTTATTTCAGTATACTTTACGTAATAACCTTCATCTTCCATTTCTTTACTACTTTAGCACCAAGTATTCCTTCAAATCTTTCTCACTCTGAGATAATGCCAGATAAACAAGTTGGTCCAAAGTTAAAGCTCACATGGCATAAGCCAGTAGAAGAAAATGGAATTATCAAGAGTTACACTGTGTTTTATAGTCATGATGAAGATCCTCATCACATTAGCACTGAAACCTTAGGAGGAAACATGTTAAGTTACACAGTAGATGTGTTAGGTGGGGCCACCTATCAGTTCCACGTCAGAGCTGCAACGATCAAACCTGGACCAAATGCAACCTTGTCTGTTACTATTAATGATTATGGTAGGTGTAAATTAGAAAAGATTATGATCAATAGGCCAGTTTTGATATACTAAAATTCTAACATAGCTCTGTCGCTACGGGGCATAAAACTAAAGAAACTAATTATTCATCCCTCAACCTCCATGTGATTTTTTTTGTTTTATTCCCCTCACCCTTGGCGCCAAGTTTGAATTTTATTACATTGAGAATGGTCCATTAAATTCACTTTCAACTTTAATGTTATCTGATAAGTGTAGAAGGTAATTTATATCAAGGTAGACAAATAGAGAACAGCTGCATAGTAGGAGTGGTACAGGAAGGACTCTCCTTATCAATTCCAAGTGCTTTCCAATGTAGTTTTGAAGGACCAGTGAACATGATTAGTCAACATGAATGACTACATACCTAAAAAAATAAGAATGTGATGAAGGGGAAAGGAGGGAAGAATTACTGAAATACAATTCAGGTAAACTTTGAGGATAAATTTTTGATCAAATGTGATTTAGAAATAATTATTTATTAAATTTTTTCATTCAACGACAGACAGCTGACCATTTAGCTGAATTGGTATATTTTTTTATTCCCTTCTGTCAGAACCCAGTGTAGCACCAAATGATGTGTCTTTCAGTACACTGAACCAAACAACCTTCAATATTTCATGGTTACCCCTGACAAGAAAAGAGAGTTATAGCAAAGTTATCTCATATGAGGTCAAGATGTCATTGGTGTCTTCTGGAAGTCGACAAAAGAGATCTCCAGCCAACAGCAAAACTGTTAACACAACAAAAGCATTTGTTATCCTGTATGATATGCAGCCTTGTTACAATGTGTATGTCCGAGCATACACTAAAGCCGGCCCTGGACCATATGGTCAACCCTTACCTCTAGAATTGAGTAAGTTTCATTTTTGCATGTAGAGCATGCAAAATTTTGCTTCAAACTTGTTAATTGGGCTGCATAGAAGCTTAATGTTTAGTCTGATTCAAAATCACAAGTAAGAGTAAGAAAAGCAAGGCATTTTGGTTGTCTTTGGTTGTAACTCAATTTGGCTAATAACCAGGAAATTGATTAACTGAATGGGGGTTGATATTCAAAATGCACACCCTAGTGTACCCAGGGAAACAAGTTGCATAAATTTTTCATCGCAATTAGCTGTACATTTTATCTCACATTCACATTATTTAATTCATTCTTATTACAACATGGACTATTTGTACAAATAAAAAAAAACTACAGAAAAATAGGAAATTAATAAAAATGCATTAACTGAATACACAAAAGAAGGAACTTACTTAGGAATCTAAAAAAGCTATGATACTTACATTGTTTTACTTCCTAATATGACAAAGTACCAAGGGCACCCAACAATCTGAGGGCAACAGACTCTCAGTCAACAGAGATGACACTGGAATGGGTGAGACCCCAACCTGCTATGGAAGAAAAGTGGAAGGTGATATTCTTAATCTTTAAGTCTACTTTGCTGTAAAAACATGGATTTTGACAAATTTTAATGCAACTCTTTTAAGCTGAGAATCAGAAACTACTATTTTTGTGATTTTTGTAATTCCTAACCTAAAGAGTGTTTTTAATTAACCCTTTAACTCCCAAAATCTCTTTGGTGATTCTCCTTACTGTCTGCCATACAATTCTCATGTCAATTTGGAGAAATTGGTATTGGATCAACTAATAATCCCCTTATTGATATTTTACTTTATTCTCATCTCTCCTGTGCTTGATATTGTATTGATATCGTAAGGAGAAATTCTGTTCGATCACTCATGGGAGTTAAAGGGTTCAAGGAGAACAGACGGAAATGACTTCTGTTGTAATGAGTATGATGCATAAGTGTACTAGAGTACTGGTACCATCGGTATGATTACCATGTAAGAGCAGCTACTGTAATAGTTACTGTAATAAGTGAGAGGAGTTATATGTACACACACAGCATGTACATGCCACAACTCCCCTATGAAATAAGGTTTTTTTGTTGTGCTGTGATCATGAAAATGCACGTCCACGCAGGAGATTTTATTTGTAAATAAATTAGTGCAGGTGTGGTATTTAATGTATCTGCATTTGACTCAATTGTTTGATTGTTAAGGTTGAGTACTCTGGGAAAAAGTCTTACAACAACAGCTTTTCACACGAAGGCAGCAAAGATGTACAGGGAGCAACAAAATATACCCTTGATAATTTGGTACCGGGTACCAAATATGACCTTCGGGTTTATGGAATCTCAAAATGTGGAAACAAAGGACTCCCTTCATCTTTGGAAGTAGAAACAAAAATAGGAGGTAAGCAATAACATGCAGGTAACCGTTTGACCCCAAGAGTGACTAACATCTAATTTCTCCTTACAATATCACCCCTGAATCACACAATGTGGTCACAAGAATAAAGGAAATGATCACCTACTAAAGTAGCTTCTGATTGTTGAACAAATCCTCCTTATTAGCGCCTTAGGAAATATATGGGATCAGTATGGAGAATATGCATCTTGAAATTGATGTAAATATTTTGCGAATCATGTTACTATATTTGTTTTCTTCCCAGAGCCATTGACTCCAGTTGTACCATCACTGACCACCAGGAAGGTCGCTGAGTCGCAGGCTGAAATTGAACTTTGGCCTGCAGAACAAAGGAACGGTCCAATAAGGTGACTGTTATTTCAATAATAATTGAGATCTTGTTCATGTAAACTCTTTGTTCTTAATATTTCAGTGATCTCTGTGACGTTTGATCCGAATAATTTTTGTTAGTATACACCACTCCGGTGAATAGTGCCTCTGCCCGTACTGATCGGCTAGTTGGGAAGTGAATAGTCAAGAGTTTTATTTTCGACCTTTTTTCGGTATCCTAAAAGAAATAAACTTGTTTTTCGTATTTGTGTGTTATATACTAGCACAAGTATTCACGTCAGTGTCGGTGAAAGTGGTGGATATTTGCCTCCACTTTGGCGAATAATTGTTAATAATTGTTTTTTTTTAATATTCCAGTGCTTATCAAGTCATTGTTCTGAGAGTTGTTGATGGTGTTGAGGAGCTTCCCACTGATTATAAATCACAGCTGGATGGTTCAAACAAAGACGGATTGACCTTTTATGTTGCTGCTGAGATAGAGAACAGTCCATTATACGAGAAGCCTTGGAAGTTTACCGTTGGTGATGGAAATTCATACGGACCTTTTGTAAACAAAGAACTTAAGAGAGGAGATAACTACATTGTTTACCAGAGAGCCATAACAAATGTCAATGGTGTAAGTGAATTTTGATAATCATGATCTACACTACGTGTATACAGGGCACTATTCAATTGTGTCGAAAAACCAAAACCAAAGTAATCGCAGCGACCAATCGTTAATAAGGTTTACACTATCATACACCAATAAGAACTCAAAGTGAAAACAAGCAAACTGCTTGAAGCGCGGGAAAACGCGAGTGACCAAATCGCGAGGGGTTTAAGTTTTGAATCTGATTGGTTGAAAAGGTGGCGCGAGTTGACAGTATTTAATTTTCTAAAAGACAAATTTGTTACTTATGTTGCAAAAGAAATTTGATACTAATTTCCATGAATTTCATGTCCTTTCTAGTACGTTTATGGAGATGTCAGCAAAGTCGCTAAGATTTCTGTTGAAGCAGGTAAAAGTTACTTTTCTTAATGTTGCTTACGTTATGACGTTATTTCATAAAAAGGGAAATACTTTTTATAGACCTTGTGGCAAACTTCGTAGAGTTCTGATCTTTGTTTCAATCGGAACATTTTCACTTGTCAATTAATAGTAAGAATTGGCTATCTGTGACATCGCATCTTATTTTTGTTGGTAATGTTTCTCGCAGTCAGAGTGCGAACCGGTCTGGAGAAAAAACGTGGAAAACGAGAGTATATGAATAAAAGTGCATAATATTTCAAGCATTTATAGTTTTTTTCCCGTGGTATTCGAGTCTGAGACGAGGAAAGTCGCGAAAAGTGATTTACAAAATTTTTTCTTTTATGGGCAAGCCGAGAAAAAAAAAAAATTATAATTGATGTTTTTTAAACATTAGTTCCCGATAAAGGGTAGTGATCCAAAGTCTCAAGATACACACTTTATTTGGAAAAGAAGAAGAAAAAGGAATTGAAAATAATGTTCATCATCAATGTAGTACCAATTCTCCGTATAACTTTGAGTTTACTTCAGAGTAGTTCTTTCAAAAGTGAATGTTTTTATATTTTATTTCATTTTTCAGTTGTAGGAGAAAATGAAAAATCCGAGGGTTCTGGTCCAAACGCCGCAGCTGTTGCTGTACCTGTGGTGTTGTTGCTACTTCTTATTCCAGCAGTTGTTGTTGCAGTGTTCTTTTACCGAAGGTGAGTTAGTACCGCTAGAAAAAGGTATACAAGGTGTAGTTTTTCCGTCAAAAGGGAAAAAGGTAAAATAGAAAGGTTCATATTACGACTAAAATTCCCTCTCACAGTATACTTCTTTACTTCACTCTTCCTCTCGTTACTCACCTTACACTTTCGACATTGCTGTTCCCAGCAATATGCAGGACGCTTATCACATATGAAGCTAATTGTAACTCATCTTATGTACCTTTGAGTTCTTTCTATCGCAGAGGTAGAGCATCGGAGCGTAAATCTGGAGTTCACTTCCTAGAGGGGGATCTGGTTAACAGTTATAACCTATGTTGCCGTGTGTCGTTCAGTAATAAATCACAGATGACATCAAAATGTGGTAAAAACGAAAAAGTGGCATTCGAGGCGCAACCAAGCGTGTCACTGATGTTCTTCCACATTTTGACGTCATCTGTGATCTATTCCAGATGAGATGGCAGCATGGAATCTATTTGTTTTATATGATAACAAATCAGAATGTTGTTAATGTTGACGTCATCTCCTCGTCTGTCCTCCAACAGATCATAAGAACCAATCAAAAGGTGTTCATGATTCAGCTTATATAATTTTTACGATACTCCACGTTCGTGACAAAAACCAACCACACCTTTCGTTATCCTTCTTTAAAAAAAAAACCAATAGGAGGAAGCAATCACGACAGGAGAGTGATAAGCGCGAGTTTTCAGTTACACTAAATGACGTCCAGAATAGTCCAGTTCCTGGCTCAACCGGAGCAGTTTATGAAAACCTGAATTTTCGCGCTGGCCAAGAACAACAACAAGGTATGATAAACGTTTAACTCGGTGACGTGCCCCTTGTGTGGTTTATGTCATCAGAAACTGAATCCTAGGAACACCCTTTTGGGATCAAACCGTCTGCTTAGGTAAGGTGTTTATAAAAAGTTATGGACGAATGCAAAACTTTTAACAGGTTTGGTATACTTCGACGTCTCTAACACCCTCCACACCCCTCTATTTTGCTTTTTATTTTCCTTTAATCTTCCTGCCTTCGTTATTGCCAATCTTAGCATTATGCCAGGACGTTTGTCACACCTGAATGAACACTAGCTCACCATAGAGTTCTGTGCTGGTCAGTGGTAGAGCTTTAGGGCGCAGAATCTGAGCGCCCCAAGTTTGATTCCTCATGGGGATTAGACTCTGTTTCTTTCTTCCGTGACTAAACAAAAAAACATCTTTCTTTACGAAGTCTCCCTCGTGATTTCTAAGATCTGATGTTTCACGCGAAACTATTACCAAATCCAGTGACACTATTACTCAAGCTCAGTGACTGGTTTAACTCTTTACTCCCACGATTGAATTGGTAATTCTCCCTACTCACTGCAATACATTTCCTTGGAGATATAGAGCTGTGAATTTTGAGGTTTATCAAGATGAAACCCTCCAGCTGATAAACTTGTTTATCCTTAAAACCTGTCAGCAAGATAACATATTTGAATCGCTTGGAGAAATTATATGTTCATCACCTATGGGAGTTTAAGGTCTCAGTAATGACCCTGACTTAACAGAATCAATTGTAGTTTCTTTGTTAAAATTAAAAATGACCCCTTCTCCTCATGTTGAAGAGTCAGTTGAAAACGTTCACCCTTTCCCGTAAAATTTTTAATGTAATGGTGGATAAATCCGCTGTAAGAAGCATGGAAGACTAATCCAACAACTGGTCACGCGCACTTTCCTGGTTGACAGATATGAACAGCCTATGTTCACATCCCAATCCAAACCTTCCTGGGGAGTTTTCAACCAATGATACAAGTGTTACTCTATCTTACGACCTCTGAACTCTCTTTTTTTTCTTTTTTGTAGATGCTGTGGATGCATCCCCGCCCGATGATGAGGAACTTGTCTACAGTCAGCCTGAGGATGGTAAACCCAAACCAATTCCAGTGAATGAGTTTCCATCATACTATAAGCAAAAATCAGAAAATGGAGCGATTGTGCTGCGAGATGAATTTAAGGTAAGATATGTAATGCCATAGTTCTTTCAAAACTCAAGGAATCATTTTTTTTTCACAGATAAATTATGGGCTCTGCTTAGTAGACAGGGCTAAATCAAAAGTCAATTTGCGTTGGACACCGCCATGTGTTAAACCACAACTCGTGGTTCAAAACGAGACATCTGCTGCCCTGTTTATCGAAAGAAAATCATTAATTTACTTCAGAATAGCTCCAAATTATTCAAAGGGGCGAGAAAAAAAAGATAATTTAGACGTAGGTGTGGCGTAGGTAATCGGCCGGAGTGGAAAGCAGGTTTTTTCAATCGCGTTGTTTCCTAATGAAACTTTAGGCACATTTAAAGACCATTCTGGAAAGGAAAGGCTTTTGTTTGAAATCTCAATACGCGGGCGGTGTTACATGTTCAGACATAGCTTTTAATGGTGGATATATAAATGATATGATTTCTGTAGCTTACCTTTCCTCGAACTGTAACTTGTTTTTACGAGCTAACCTATAAAGTGAAAAACAATGTCTAGTCAATACATCGCAATAAGTTCCAATGGAATTTTATGTTGGTCATGGAACTCTTGATTATTATCCAGCAATTTTCTGGAGGAATGCAGGCGTCCTGGAATGTTGGCAAGAGTAACAGAGCTAAGAACCGTTATGGAAACATAACTACTTGTAAGTAATTCATTTAATTGCTAAGCAGTGTGCATTCATTTTGATTGAGTTCCGTAAACCAAAACCTAAACGAATTAATTACAACAGCCAATTGGATCGAGCAAACTACTTTCAGCGTGGGAAAACCAGAATTGGTTTTTAGTTGAGTGTTTGCAGATGATGTTACCACATTTTGACGTCGTCTGCGATACATTACTTGACAGAGGTACTGCAAAATGTAATCTGTTTGGCTTATGTAATAAAGAAGGCAAAAGTTGTCAATAGTGATTCCATCTACATTGGTAGGTGCATCTGTCGTCTTATAAGTTATTTCAAAGAACCAATTTTTTTTGCATGTATAGTTTAGTTAATCTTAAAATTTGGGGTTTTATCAACTGAGTTGATGATGTAAATTGGCCGCCTTAAAGAGTTTCAAAGCTGACGTTTCGAGCAATACCCCTTCGTCAGAGCGTATGACCAATTTATATTATCTACTCGGTTGATAAAACCAAAATTATCTTGTTATACTCTCCACTGACGTAGCACCACGGTTTCTATAGAAACTTACTCACTTTATGTATAAACCTCAATTGACGATATCTGCTTCGAAAACGAGTCGCCGACACCGACGCAGCACCACAGTTTCTCCAGAAACATACTCACTTTGTATATAAATCTTAATTGACGATATCTGCTTGAAAAACAAGTCGCCGACACCGACGCAACACCACAGTTTCTCTAGAAACTTACTCTCTTCATTAGTAAATTGTAGTTGACGATATCTGCTTCAGAAATGAGTCGCCGACACCGACGCAGCACCAGTTTCTTTAGAAACTTACTCTCTTTATATACAAATCTTAATTGACGATATCTGCTTCAAAAACGAGTCGCGAGAGTTCCCTCTCTCGCTTATTTTCTGTCTTACACTCACGACTAACTTATAACCGTTATAACCGTATTCTTCATTGCCAAGTTCATATTTATCTTCGTTGTTTGACTTCAACTAACTGACATTCTCGTAATTAACACAGGCTAACTCGAGCGTGTAGTTTGCTGTGACAAAGTGCGTATTGAAAGTTTTGAACTCCAGCATATCTGTGTCTCAGATCCCTATAGCTCCACTCAAAACCCGTTTTAATGAGAGGTTTTTTTCATTAACAGATGATCATTCTCGTGTTGTTTTGGAAAAAATCGAAGGCGATCCAACATCTGACTACATTAACGCTAGTTACATCCCGGTAAGTAGATGCAGAATGAATAATAAAATTCGCGAAACCAAATCCAAAATCAACGCGACGACCAATCAGAGCTAGGGAAAATCTAAAGGAGCCAATCAGAACATGGGAAAAATCTAAAAGAGCCAATAGGAACTCAAATTCATTATGAGTAAACTACTAAGCGCGGAAAAACTACTCTAGGAATAGAGAAAGATGTTTTTCGTCTTGTCACGAGCATGACAAGACGTAACTCTACCACTGAGCCGCAGAGACTCAACGGTGAGCGAGGTCTATTATGAAGTTCATATGACAAAATAAGAGAGAAAGACCACGCTCACCGTAGTATCTCTGTGGCTCAGTGGTAGAGCATCGGTGCGTGAAATCCCAAGATGTGAGGTTCGATTCCTCATGGGGAATCAGACTTTTTTCTTTGTCTCACGCTCGTGACAAGATGAAAAACCTCCTTCTCCATTTCTTTTCCGATCTAAAAACTTGCCATCTCTCTCATTCTATTTATTCTAGGAATAATAGTTTTCAATTTAACATCTGATTGTGTGAGAAAACGATGCCAATGTTTTTTGGCCAATCACAGCGCGTACTTAGGGAAAGTCCTAAAAACAAACCCGATGCAGTTCCGGATTCTTTACAACTCTTTTTGTTACCATTTTTCAAATGGCAATAAAGAGAAGCATTTCACTAAGGAAAGCCTACCATAAAAGAGATGTGTCTTTTTTAATCCGCCACTAATTTTCATTCTTGCGTTCAATTTCCTTTCCTAAGACATATGACGAGAAAACAATGTGTTACATCGCCACACAAGGTAATCGTTTTTATTCAAGAAACTATAAGGACTTTGTATCAAGCTGTACCATTTTGTCCATGGTTTTGTGAAGATTTCTTTTTGCTGGCCAAGCTCATTAACACATCTAAAGAAACGTGTCTGCCTATCTAATCTGACTCTAAAAAAATACTCCTCTAGGTCCAAATAATGTGACAGTGAATGATTTCTGGCGAATGATTTGGCAAGAAAATTGTTCTACCATAGTGATGCTGACAAACCTGGTCGAACTGGGGAAGGTATGCCAATTTTGCGTTTTCCAACTTTTCAAGATCTTGCTTGAGTTTTCTAAACCCAATTGACACCTATCCTGGAAACGCTGCATGCAAACTCTTTACGTTACTTTAGCTGCGCCAAATTCTGATTAGTACCAATTCTTTTTGTTCGCGGTGATGTGGCAAGAAAGTGGTCGCGAACTTGAAATTTTATTACGACGCTGGTCTTGGTCATGCTAAATTTTGATGTCTGTTTATAGAGGGGGGCTAACTTGCCTTTCTGAGACTTTTTCCATCCCTGTGACGGAAAAA